AATGTAGCAGCCAGCAGTATAACTGGGTAACAAGTCATGACCATGATTGGTATGGGAATAGCAACGTCATTACCTGGAGTCGGACAGTACCACATGACTGGCAAACTAATTTTGGTTATTGTGAACAGACATGTGACTGGACAGTGATATGGTGACTTAAATTTGCATCCTGTCATTAGGGGTGAAACGGTACGCTCTTACCACGGCACAGTACGTATTGCGGTACAAGGCTTTCGGTTCGGTCCGTTTCGGTTCAGTATACGAGAACTTACTTCTGTGAAAATACCGGCCGTCTAGCAAAGAAATGCATATTTGCCAAAAAGATTTGATTTCTAGACATTTTAGAAAAGGCTTTAAAAGGTTAATGTGCAGAAACCGAAAATACCGATTTTTTTTATTGCATTACGGTATACCGAACCGAAGGCAAAATACAGCGGTTCTACTAATACCACTGTATACTGTTTCACCCCTACCTGTCATTGTTCCAGTCAGTAGAATTATGGGAAGAAATTGTGAAATGCAAGATAACAATGTCAGGACCACACTGCAATCAAGTCACAAACCTTGCACTGTCATAACTTGTATGTATGTCATTGTATGCATGACCATGTTGTAAACTGGCTGATTCAAAATAAGCTGAGAGAATATGGAACTTTAAAAAATCAACAGCTAAACTAACTGGCAAAAGAAACGATACCAAGTCGAAATCACTGATACTACAAAATGACAAACCACCATTGTGAAAAAGGAAAATGAAGTTTAGTTACAGGTGTATGGGCAATATGCTCATACACATTGCCCATACAACTGTTATTAAAATTCACTTTCCCTTTTCACAATGTTGGTTTGTCATTTTGTAATATCAGTGATTTCGACTTGGTATCGTTTCTTTTGCCCGTTAGTTTATTATTGAGTGAGTCACTGAACTGAAAATGATATTTCACTTCGACTACAACATGTAGGCTTAATGTGGAAGGAAAGCCCAAAGTGATGTAGATCTTAAACCTTTATCACTCTGGCAAAACCCACAAGCGAAATTTACAATCACAGGGTAAATTAGTGAGTACCATAAATGGATTCTGGTACAAATGTAATATAACATTCTGTAAATTGCAGTGCATCTGTGCCCCCTGGTGAAATAGAAATTTGTCATTATTGCTTAATACTAAAGTCATCATACCATTTTTTTCTGTGGCAGAAGCCAGACAGAACAGAGCAGCTATCTTGATGTTTGGGAAGTCAGTTCTCTGTAGGAGGCTGTATAGATAGAGCAGACCTCCACTTTCTCGAACATAGTCCCTAGCTTCATCTGAAAAATAGATAAGTTTGATGAAATGAGTCATCGGTACCAAGTACCATAGCATTTTCAGATCACAAAATATATGAATCTGAAAATGCATTTCATTACATAATGTAACAAGAGGCACTAAAAATATACTGGTTCCAACAAGATGAATCTCAAGCCTGCTGAAATTCGCATTACTATAGGTTTTATATTTTCTTTTTATTTACATAACATATCACTACTCTCACACAAAGTAGAGGGTAAACTTGATTTGCAACATGAAATCATGGTTGTTATGGACAGAATCCACAGCATGTTTTCAATGTCTTGTCTAGAGTGTTCAGCAACAGATGATTTGTTCGTATGTTAATGTCAATATTCAGGTAACATTAATTCCATGAAAAACATAATGTTCAACATAAAATGAAATCGGACTGTTATTCAGTTTATCTACCTGATGAAAAGAGACTTGACAAGGTCATAAGTGACTGATGAAGAGCGGTTGGGCTTTTTAGCTGACATTTCACACACTCCAGAACCACATCAATGTCGGATCTTATTTCTGAAATTTAGAAGACATGAGGTTAGAGAAGTCAGGTTTTTAACATCTATTAAAATCGGAAGATGTCCATGTATGGGATTATACAGGTGTTTGATAGCTTGTTTCAATACTTGTACTTGATAGTGGCATGGATTGAAATTAAGCAAGAAAAGATCAAAATTCTTCCAGTCCTCAGGATACCTTCAATTAGGGAAACAGTGTCATACTAGAGGACATGTGCTAATTGCTAAGCCCATGTGGTCCAGCATTGTCAAGTGATCAGTACATTTATTACAAATAACTGAGAGGAAAGCATTCCTTCTGTGGTGCAGTATTTCTGTCAACACTGAAACCTAACTTAAATGAGGCTTCAGTGTGTGACCTTACCTGCCATGTCTGTACAATTACGTCAAAAAGTCCATCTGTTTGCTGTGGAATTTATCCCTGTGAACATAAAACAGGTGTAAACTATTACCTGCCTCAAAGTGGTTGGTTCTCAGTCAACATGACAGCATGGATATTAATAGTGTGAGAATACATTTATGCATTTTCACATATGAACAACAATTTTCCTAAAGCTGTACTGACCAAAATATTGCATTTACACAAACTTACAGGGATGAATTTGTAAGATGTCTATAGTCAATCAACAAGCAAAATATACAACATGGTTTTAGATGGTTTCATTTTCTAATCATCATCAAAATTGTACAGTGTTTTTTTCATTAGGTCTTGATAAACAAAAATGTCTTTACCAAATGCACATTCAATGTTCTGTTACTTTTGAGGAAAGATATATATCTCATGCACTGTTTCATTGCACAAATGTGCCATGTGTTGGGGCATAGGTCTGAGATGTTGACAAGAAGGTGGCTCCACATACCAGTAAACATTAATCATGGCCAGAAGTTACAAGATTTTCCAACTGGAAAGTGGCAAAGATTAAAAGTCCCCATACATTGAAAGCCCCTCCACTGACAAGTATTGGCATTGGCAGAATGATTGCAGTGTGTGTCAAAATTTGCTCTGATGTTTTGAAGTGACCAAGTAAATTTTCTGAGGGAGAAGTGATATTCTGTAGCACAGGTCATGTAGGCACTGTTACATATGACTTAAAATTTCAAGAAAGATAATCATTGGGATTCATCCCTTCTTTGATTGGTCTTCCTGGACAAGAGTAGTATCATCTTGCTTCAGAAATGAACATATTTAACAAGAAAATGGTTCCTAAATTAACTCATCAAATATAACCAGAGACTCTTTTCATTTTCAGAAGAATTTGTGGCAATCTAGACTTGCCACATATTAAAAACTTGCTGGTATTGGGTATATTTGTTTTTTTAGGATCTGCATGACGGATTGCATCTTGCACTCAAGTTGACGTCACAAATTATTTGTTTTGCTAGCAATTAAAAGATCATAACTGTAAACACAATACTACTTGAATACCTGTCTTGTAATTAAAATTGAAGATTCAGATTCCAGTGTTCCGAAGCATTATATGCAACCAAAAGCAGTAGATTACATCCAAACTATCTTTGCTCTGCTCACCTAAAGTCATTAGCAATAAAACCATGGCCAAAACCAGTATATTCAGAAAGGAAAGTTATTTATCTACTTTGCTGTGCTGAGCACTATTGTTTTACTGTAATGTCATGACTGGAAAATAATTCACACAAAATTAAAAACACACAGCACCATCAAAATCCTAGCCTATTAAATACCATGGAAGAAGCCCCCTAAAAGTTACATTCTGTGCCCAAAATATTTGCATCTACTCGTAATAATGTTTCCCTTGAAATCATTTCTGGAAGATTTTAATGTTAAGTTAAAAAAATAAAGCTTACTAGACCAATCCAAACGTCACAAAACTCTTGCGCTTCCGACTTGTACATGGCTCAAAAGGGATAATCTCAAGCCTCCGTGATCTCTTCACTACCATAGCACTTTCAAAATCCTTTTTCATTATGTTGATACTGACTGAAAAAAGAAAAGAAAAGAAGCTGCATACAAACAATAACTGTTTTGCATTGCAATAGTCCCTGTTCTGAGTGGCTTGCCAGGGGGTGGGGAAATACACGGGGTGCTGTCCATTTTGTCATTGTAAAAGCAAACTTAAAAGGATAATGTCTGTTGACAATATACTGACGCCTACTAATAGTACTATACACAATGCCATTGTTTTTCCATTAGACGTTTGTTGAAAACCAAACGTTGAATACATTTTTAAAACCGGGAAGGGCCGGTCCAAATGAAGGATATTTTTCAGAATCATAATGTTGTAATACTTTTCGCAAAACTTAAGAACTTATTCTCTTGTGCTATCTCATACAAATCAATAAATCAAACATATTCATCAAATGGTTGCAGACCAAAACGCTTCTTGCAACAATAATAACACTACTGTTAAGTTCACTTGAAATTAAAGCATACTTGTAGATCTGAAAAGCCGTCTCCTGTCTTTTTCCTTACTTGTTTGTCCTTGAAGGTAATTACACTATAGGAAAAACCTGGGCAGCATAAGCCGGTTAACAATGTAGTTAATGTTCATTAGTCGGTTTGTCATCTGGCATCGTGTGAACAAAATTGGCACCACTTGAACTTTACCCTCAGTGCTCGTCAGACGACTTCCGGTTTCACAGTTCGGCAAATAGGCAAAACAATCGGAACATCCAAACATGTGTCTGTATATCCCTGAACGTCGAAGTTGAAAAGGCGTGTAATATTAATATACATGTATGTTGAATTGTATTACAAAATGAACCACGAACAAGCATTGTTATTTTTATAAAAGCTGTATCCACCCGTGTTGTATCTTTGCAGTGTATCAAAGAGTCTGTCATCCAGTCGGAACTCAATTTTCACTACTCGTTATAAAACGTATCTTTCTCTCAAATGGCGTGAAGCCCATTTCCGGTGTTCCTTGCCGTGATGTTGCTGGAATATTGCTAAAAGCGACGTAAAACCATATTCACTCACTCAAGTGGGCTCTCTGTAATATATCCTTGCCAAGAGACAAAACATAAAATTAATGTTTCTGATGCTGCGACAACAGAATGGAAACAGATGCTGCAAAACTAGGACATACCTTTTAGCGAATGAAATATTTACTGCAGAGTATATATCTCCTGGTCGGTTTTGTGTAGTTGGTCCATAAAGTGACTAAAATATACTTGTATTATTCACTACCGGTGCCATCAAGGCTGCACACAGTAAAGGCATAGACAAGTGCACCTACTGTGGCAGACTCAGAACTATTTATTTTCTTTTTAATTGGAGTATATCCACGATCATAGGCTAGTAGTTCACAATTAAGATCAATCACTATAGACTGTCAGAGCCTCCGACAACTGGTTCGTCAATCAAGTATATCAGTTTGTTCTTCCACTGATGATATTTCCCGGTAATTCGTGGAATGAATCTTGGGTTGTATGTCGGGTTGTATTAGGAAACGTTTCTGTTGATAGCAATTAACATGTTTTTGTCTGAAATGATTATGTTATGCATGTGTATTGTGTATGTATGCATGTATATGCCCTTGTATTATTGAAATTATGATCTACCCTTTAAGACAGGAGAGGTAAGGTGAAACGGGATTAATCAACTTCTATAACCAACATGTGTATACGTTTGCTTGAAGCCTGAGTCCACAGTTTAACCATGCCGCAATGACTTTACCGTGAATACCCGACTGAGACACACAGGCCCACAGGCCCTCGTGTCTTTGCGAGGATTAAAGATTTAAAAATATATTTTTTAAAAACTGAGATGACCCCCGACTCGAAATGCTTCACAGTACAATAAATCATGATCATGTCATGATGCATTGTACTGCGAAATTAGTGTGAAGTATTTTTAGGCGGGGGTCATCTAAAAAAATATTCTTTAATATAAAATATTCTTTCTTTATTCGCAAAGACACGAGGGCCTGTGCTGAGACACACTAAATTAAACTGACTTCGACTCTTTGTTTCATGCCCTAATGTCGAGAGTTGAGCAGAGTAACAAGTGTCATCTTTTGGGGTTATATTGTATGACACGGACGGGTTCGAACCACTTATTTTCCGTATGCAGACAGACGTGTCATCCAATAGACCAAAGAGGCGGTCCTTCCTCAACCGTTATACGGTCGTGGTACAGATGTTTATGTAAGGCTAATGTAGTCAGATCTCCACCAAGCATGAACGCAGAGTTCAGGGCGAATAAAGTATAATATTTTTTTTGCAAGGGAAATGTTAAGTCATTTACATTTATTGTAACTCTCTTTCCTCATATAGATAAAATTATGATTATCAAAGAAAAGAAAAACTACCAAGGAGAAGGTAGTAATTTGAGAAATAGTGACAATCGTTACTGAGATCAACGCGAGAAGCATTACAATGTGTGCGTGCCTGAAACAGACTGACTTATAGTGGAGATTTTATTAGCGCTTCATGTGAAACCAACATACGCACTCAGACAATTCTTGAATATTTCTTTTATAATTCTACATTGTAGCTTCAAAAAGATCTTTAGAATTGGTCACCAGCCACCAATGATTGTCGTAAGTGGCAACTAACGAGGTCGGGAAGTCGAGATCGCTGACTTGGTCGTGATGTCGTCGTATCCAGATGTCGAAGACCAATGCCCATTATGCTGATCACTGGGTTATTCATAGGCGTTTATTAAATGACCACTGAAACTCTCGTGAAATCGGGTGAAAATTAACTGTACACCCCACTTTCTCAAAAAGCTGTATCCGCTCCTGTTATTTACAGACCGCCGCCATAGCCGGTATAGTGCTGAGTGCGGCGTTTGACAACAAACAAGGTAATTATTTTAAAAAAATACCACTCGACTGTGGACAATTCTCGTGTAACAGAAAATAATAACTCATACAGCTAAATATTGTTCTGTGGATGCTCTTAAACATGTCATGTATGTAAATTAGAACCTGTTGGGTATCGCCTTTCAGATGAAAACATTGATTGAAACTTGTTTTGTCTCCCACAAAAATCGCAGAATAAAAGACAAAATGTTTGAGAATAAAGCACTAACGCCCTGTCGAAAGGTAATCTTTCTACTTAGTTAATCTTTAAATATGCCAGGTTAAAATCTTGTATAACTGACACGTTTCGTTGACTGTGTGCAACTCCAGTTTAAATTGGTAGCCGTGTGTTCATTACAATAAGTGGTAGGATGATACTACTGACGTCATTGGCCTTGTTCGGCTGCTCATGCATGTGCAGTACGTGCTATACTGATCCGACATTGTCGGCGTGTTGTGTCATCGCAGTTGACATTCCACCAACAGGTGGACTGAGGTAGGAAATCGTTGATCAAACGTAACAAGAATGCCAATCAAACATTTAAGACTGCAATGGTTTGGATTGTTTTATTACATGACAGAAACACATGAAAATAATTTACAATAACACCCACAATATACAGACAAGAAACACCCAGAGATCTGTTTCTTCATACAAGGACAATGGATTTCCGATCAAAATATAATTCGCGCACCTGTTTTACTTATTTGCGGAAATGTCTTATGCCAACAGCGTTGGTAATCGAAATAAAGTAAATGATTGTATTTTCATAATTTGAGGGGAAAAAAATGTGAAAGAAACATATCTCTTGAAGTAACATTTAATTTCTAGAAAAATACTTCTTGTTTGAAGGTGCTGATGAAAATTAAGTAAGTGAATTATCTTGGAAAACTCGGAGGGTCAGTAGAGATTTCATATAATCATAATTCTGTTCACCAATTAAGATTTGGCAGCAGGAGGTGAAACAGGTAAAACCCATCTTATTAGATTCACATGAGTTCAGCAGTGACATGTTTCATCACACACAGCTAACTCCCTTCTCCAATTGAATCATGGCTCCATCTTGAACCCTGTCTGAAGCAATGATCAGACAAATCAGCCCACATTCGCTAAGGATGATATCAAACAAAATAAATTATGTCTTTGGGAATGTCAGTTCCATGTTTCTGGTGTCATTCAGACCAAGGTCAGCAGTACATTTCATTCAAGTTCATAGGTGGATTGAGGATCAGACACATGAGGAGTGCTGGTTACACTCAAGTGATGAAGTCTGAGAAAACATGGCACACACACTATCCCCTCTTGATGTGTCAGTGAGGTTGCAGCGACACCAAGACTCCTGGTTGTCATGGTTATACAAAATGATCATTTTCTTTTGAAAATAGATGTTGAAACAAGGGGCTTCTGATGGCGCTTCCAACATTCCTATTTCAGCCAATCAGTAACATTAGGTTGATCAAGTTGTCTTCTATCTTTTACATGTATTTTTTTTTCAAATGATAATTTGTAAAGGTGCTTTCAAATGGCACTTACGTTGCCACATAATCGTTGAATGCTCAGATTCTGTTCAGAGAATACAACAAATCTAAACTGATGGCACAAGACGTTTACAGGGATGAGGGTTAAAACTAAGGTGTATTTCGAGATTAAAATGTTCAGATTCATGGGCACCAGTTGAGCCAAGAAACTGAATACCAAGTTTTTTAAGGGGAGACCTTGAGGAGACTTTGAAGGTGACTGTCACTGAATCCATTGTCAACATGGAATCCAATTAAAAAACTTCACTGACTCATTTTCTAGTCTGTAGATTCGGTGAATTCTCATATTCTGGTCTTTTGATGCAAGGAAGCACATCCAAGTCACTGTATGAACTTAATTACATTTAAGTTTCTGGTTGAACTTAATCACGTTTAGGTCAGTGAATCACACACAAGACACTGAACCACGCCCGTATCTTCAAAGCAGCACAATCATAATGTGGGACTTTTTACGTTAAAAGAAACAAAATATACATCAGGAACAGTCAGAAAGATCTGTGTTTGTCACCTTCGGTGAGAATCCTTACAGAACTTGATCCACTGAATAACTTCACTTAATCGTTTTGAAAACATTGTCTTAAATAAGTTATAGGTAGCGTCTTTCTGCACAGCATCAATGAGAGGTTCGTATGTCCTGGCATAGTGCTCGAGCACCTCATGGGGGCTGATGCTGCCATGGAGCTTGTACAGAGCATCCACCAGTGACTTCTGGAAGATACACATTGTCTGTAGCATTTCTTTGTGGAAGTGAAGGAAGTGTTCGCCGTTACTGCCGCTGTGGTACAGGAGGTCGTACGCATCAAGGAGCCCACTCTCATTATCTATCAACCAGAGTTTTCCTGTTGTTGTGGATTTACGAAGGTTACGAATGTTGTCTTGAATTATCTTTGGTGATTTCTCCTTCTCTGCTGCATCTTGCATACTGGCCACTCTGAAACACAGAAGGAGACAATTATATGACATGCACTTGTGAGGAGAGGTGCACGTATCATCTGTTTTTCAGAATCAAGTATTGTGTTTTTCTGTTATAATTTCTTTCAGAGTGAAATAGAAAAAATTAAGTTTGCCTCAGGTTTTACCCCCACAGAAATAAGAAATGCCAGAATCATATTGTTCAGTTCCTCCTGTCACAGAAATATTTACGTCTTAATGCATGGACTGAAACAATATTCCTTCAGTTTAATACTGAAGCCTCAAACCACTCCTCTCTCTGAATATTAAATGGTTGATCCTAGACTTGTATCATTTAACAATATGTAGCGGCAAAAATAATGCTGGGTCCTGTTTGAGGGTTTGAACCACAGACCTGAGGTTAAATGCCTTGACCACTTGACCAATGAGGTTTAACCCTTCAGCTACCAAAGTTAGGAAATTATTTGTGGGATGCTTCACATAGGTACATGGTGACATAGTTCAACACTGAAGACTGAGAGACTCAAGACCATGGCAGGGGTGGAAATAACTTTAAAATTGCTAGTGTACTCCGGTACAGTGGCACATGTAAAATCACTTGCCCTGATAATTTTCCACTATACCGGCTGTTTTCTTGTTGATTTTTTAGATAAACAACATAATTAATATTGGAAAGTCAACTGGACACCGGTACAGTGTGATATCCAAATTTGCTTGCCCGACAGATAAAAACACTGGACTCGGGCGTGGGGCAATGGGTTATTTCCACCCTTGCTTGGATGATCAACAAACACTAAACACGGCCCTCCTAATAAAGGTCGACCTAACATGTTCCTTCCAGTTGTCGGTATAAAATAGGACCTGTCATGTGCTCCTATTGTTCAGTTTATCACTAGGAAGACCATATAGGTGAATCAGCGTGTAGACCGTGTCATTATCTGCAAAATGACACATATTACTGGCCCTCCAAAGTAGCCATTCCTACAGATGATAATACCGTAATGGATGTTATTAGCGCCACAGGCGTTAAACCCAGTCAGCAGCAAATTGGATGCAGTCTGAGATGGGAGACTACAGCAGTAGCTGCACCTGTTGTAACACCTTTCAAGACATCATATATTGTCCAGACTTATGGGGGCGGTGGGGTAATCTAATGGTTAAAGCATCCACTCGTCACGATGAAGACACGGGTTCAATTCCCAACATGGGTACATTGTGTGAAGCCCTGCCGTGATATTACTGGAATATTGGTAAAAGCAGCGTTAAACCAAACTCACTCACTCACTCCAGACTGTTATAACTCTCTAACACTCTATACAGTAAAACAAACTGTTAGTTCATACTCTCTATATATTTCTTTTCTCACTTGAAATTAACACAACTAAATGCAGAGATAAACCCAAACTCACTCACTCACCCAAAGTGTCATCAATACAATGGGGTTTAACCCCAAACACCACAGACTAAATTCCTTTTTTCATCTTCACCAGGGGCAGTGGGTTAGCCTAGTGGTCAAAGCATTCGCTCGTCACGCCAAAGACCCGGGTTTGATTCCCCACATGAGTACAATTTGTGAAGCCCATTTCTGGTGTCCCTGCCGTGATATTGCTGGATTATTGCTAAATGTGACATAAAACTAAACTCACTCATCTTCACCAATATATATTAAGCAAACATGTTGCTACTCAGGCAACTGGAGTGAGATAACCCATGTATTTTTACCAACCAAACTAAGAAGATAATGAATCTTTTGACATTGGGCCAAAGTGCAAGTTTCACGTAAGACATCATTAATTTTCGTGCTTGACCCTTCTCCCACTGAGGAGCTTTAGACCCTCCAAGCACCTTATACATGGCGATAATACATAACTCTTTTCTTCTATTTCAGGCGTGCAAGTTGTACATACATCAACTTGTGGTTGTGGACAACTCCTGTCACATGAATGTATTGACATTCTAGATCTATACAGCCAAGGTGGAGGAACAACGTTATTGGCAGATGTACGCTGCTTGCTCGCAGGTTGCTAATTGTAAGATGATGAAGGAGCCGGACGTCCCTGAGGAGGTAGATGGAGCTCGCTAAATGCAGACACTTTGGAAGCGGGTTTGCAGTACCGATATTAGACTCATGGAGGAAACGTCTGACTGCAGGTAGGCGATAATACTTGTCATTCTGCTGCATGCTCATTTTACTTGTGGTATTGAATGGAGTTTGGTCTTTTCAGAAAAGTATCGTCTGATGGCGTGACGGTTTTAACTTTCAAATTTCACTGCATTGATAAGTTTCATTGATGTTTGATATTCACATACATTGGTTGATGTTATCACATTTCATACTGACACAGAAAGCCCTGTGATTATTTTTCATTTGATATTCACGTAATTAAGCTTGTGATTACTTCTCATTTGATATTCACGTAATGAAGCTTGTGATTATTTCTCATTTGATATTCACGTAATGAAGCTTGTGATTATTTCTCATTTGATATTCATGTAATGAAGCTTGTGATTACTTCACATTCGATATTCACATATACAGAAGCCTGTGATTACTTCACATTTGATATTCAAATAGAGACCCCTGTGATTACTTCACATTTGATATTCACATACAGTAGCCTGTGATTACTTTACATTTGATCCTCGCATAGAGAAGCCTGTGATTACTTTACAAATGATATTCATGTACAGCTGATCATGTATAGCACCTCTTTGGATGCTGTTGTTTCCCAATTACTTGGGGGCGGTGGGGTATCCAAGTGGTTAAAGCGGTCGCTCATCATGCCGAAGACCCGGGTTCAATTCCCCACATGGGTACAATGTGTGAAGCCCATTTCTGGTGTTCCCTGCTGTGATATTGCTGGAATATTGCAAGAAGCGGCGTAAAACTGAAATCACTCACTCACTCCCAATTACTTGACAGAAAGCTTGATGCGAAGCTGTGCAAAAGAGAAATACTTTGACACATGACCCAAAGGGTCATCATTATCCTGTAACTGAAGTGATATTTTAAACCGAAACACCTCAAACCAACTCAGTTGTACAATATTCAGGTAGACATCATTTATAGCCAATAGGATGTTAAACTGGGACATTATAATTATTCGGGGAACCGTGTCGCCTTGGGCTTGGGACATACCTATCATAGTTGCCTGTGAGGTAGTCGAAGATGACCATGGCGCCCCACTGGACAATGTCCGACAGTGCTACAGCGCTCAGCTTCTTCTCTGCAATGATGTCTGAGTTGACGATGCCCCCAGTGCGATACGCTTCCAGGATTGTTGGCGGCATCTGCACATGAGCTCTGCCAGACACAGGAGGAGGACATATTGCAGTATGTGCGACAACACTTATTAATGGTTCATTATTTAGTCAGAAAGGTGTTTCTTATCATAACAAATGGAAACATTCTAAGGATGGGAGGTTATTTGACCATATGTTAATGTTTTGAAAAGGTTGAGCTTTTGCTTACTTCATTATGATAGGAAATAATACAAGAAAAGAAAGCAGGTTATTTGACGGTGAATAATACGTTTAAAATGTTAGTCCAATATATTATTATTAAGGTTCTGAGGTTTTCTTCACTGAACTTAGGTGCTGACCTGTGTTTCCACTGGGTGTTTGTTTACAATTTTGTAAACGTGCACTCTTTGTTACATGAATCTGTTTCAAGTTTCACCCGCAGATAAATGTCTTGTGATTAATATGAGCTGTAAAACCTTTAACAGTCATACAATACATTCCATTACTGAGAAAATACATGAAATAAGAGTAAGGTTGAAGCCTCCAGGGCAGTGGGCTCACCTGCGTGAGTTCATGTTGTCTATCCACTGAATGAGGGCCACATACTGGTTGTTGCCCCACCCTAGAACTGCTGTGTCCTGACCCCGCCAGTGGATTGATGAAGCATTGATCTGGGACAGTAACACTGCTGGAACGTTGTCCATGCCCAGCAACATCGACAGGTAAAAGGACAGGACCTCACCTGCAGAAGGGAAGCAGGTTCGTTAATATGTAAGGTGTAATGAACTTGATTTGTACATAATGTACAATTTCTCATGGTTTCCCAGAGGAAATATTTACCGTTTGATGCGATTTATGATAAGCAAGTCCTACACGGTTTGACATGAAAAATGGTGACTCACAGTAAATGTTTTTGGGAGTCATTTTCTAAATTTGTGAGCCATGAAAATTTGTTGTCAATGGAATAATTTCATTATTATGAAAGTTTAAAATGCTTATTATATTCAGTGGAGTTATTTGAATTCAAGGTACAATTATTTGAAGAAATATTGCACCAACCATAACTTGTATGAAAATATATTTGAAGTATTTTATGAAATTGTTGACTCAATGTGCAGGAATTGCATGTCATGTAAAACCATGTGATATTACACACAGGGGCATAGGTATGAACTTGTTTTCAGTAATTTTCACGGAGTGTAATAATAATGTAATTGAGGGTTATTTATTCATCTAGCACATCTTCCGCAAACACAACTGCCATGCATTACGAAGTGTTAGTATTAACTTAACACAACTGCCATGTGTTATGAAGTAACAGTACTCACCTAACACAACTGCCATGTGTTATGAAGTAGCAGTATTAGCACTCACCTGACACAACTGCCATGTGTTATGAAGTAGCAGTATTAGCACTCACCTGACACAACTGCCATGTGTTATGAAGTTACGACGTGTCAGTACTCACCTGACACAACTGCCATGTGTTATGAAGTTACGATGTGTCAGTACTCACCTAACACAACTGCCATGTGTTATGAAGTAGCATTATTAGCACTCACCTGACACAACTGCCATGTGTTATGAAGTTACGATGTGTCAGCACTCACCTAACACAAGTGCCATGTTACGATGTGTCAGTACTCACCTAACACAAGTGTGTCGTGGGGGTGTCGGTATCGGGCACACATGGCTGTCCCGTCCTCCATGACAACATATCCATTCTTGGGACGTCCACAGCGATCCCAGGACGGTTGCTGGAGGCTCTTGATGTGCGTGACTCGCATCCTCCTTACCCAGCCAATCCGGCTGTAGTTGGACATACCTGGAACATAGATGTCACATGACACAACATGGTATAAAAACATATAGTTTCGGCTGAAGGGGCAGTGGGGTAGTGTGTCTGTGATGGAGAAATGCAGTACAATAGTCCAGTGTAACATAGATATCCCACTCACTCACGGTATACTGGCTGTGAGCCGACCATTCCTTGTTTTATCCCCTTAATACCAAGCACAGGGAAACAAGTACAGTAAATGTCTTAGTACAAAAAGGCAGAGGTTCAAACCACAGACCTTTCATTGAATCACTGGGCAGATGCTTTATCCGCTGGGCCACTCAGGCAGTCAGTTTAGTGCTTTCAGTGGATGGAACGTACAGTTTACTTTTCAGATTAACATGGATATTTTCATTTAACCTGTGCACCCAATTAAAAAATCATGTCTTTAGAAATATGAAAAAATGCTTGCTGACTAAGTCCCCCAAAAATATGTAATTATCATTAATGATTACAATGTGTTTTATTATTGTTTTATAGTTAATTATAATAAAAATGAGGTTATATGTATTGGATTATCAGAAGGACAAGTCTTTGTGTACTGTATTCTGAAATTCAGATGACCATGTTAAGGATCAAGGGAGACCACTCTTCCAGGACTAGCGGCATGTAAAATGTCTTGTCTGTTCTCTGACAGAGTGTCTTTACAATTTGTTTATTGATTTGAACATAACTATACAGTTAGTGATTTGTAATATATACAATAGATGAGCATCATATATGTCTCTGACATCATGCTTCTGGTGTATTTTAAACATAATATTTAATATTTCTGAGCTCAAACCTTGAGTCAATATACCATGAGAATGTCAGAATTGTTACGTCAACTAAGTCATCAATTTTCTATCATTTCCTAATTGATAAAGGTTTGCTATTTAAGATATATTGAAGTCTTTGGTTCTCGTTATATTTAATTTAGAATATTGGCATTCAAACATGAAATGATACTCATTTTCCATCTTGCTCATCGAGCATAATTTACATATTTCATCGTCTATCTATGAGCACTCAAACATAATGAAGATAGTGATTCTAGTTTTAACCTTTTTGATTAAAAGTGACAGTTTGCTGTGTATCTAGGAGGAAACATTTTCCCCCCTCTTTTTAAATAATTACTTCCTACACAATAACCAGCTGCTTCCTGATTTGTCCTTGTCAGGTGCAGTCTTACCAGCTTCCACCCACCATGGTAATCATTTGATATCAATTTGTACTCAAAGGACACACAGCTGCCTGATTTGACCCTACATTATATATAATCTGTTGTCCACCGCTAGCATCACAGCCCTGCCAACCCCGGCCCTGTATTGGGAGCAGGTGCCCCCTGACTTGTCCTCTACTCAGTGTGTGTATGTAATGGTATCTGATGGCTCAGCTCGGTAATGAAGACAAATGGGAAGTGATCATAGCCTTAGATAGGAGGACACTTCTCATCCTGTGAAGGGCTATGGAGGTGCTGAGTGTTTGTCATTTACTCCTGCGTAACCAAATGGGGATGTATTGAAACACTGATCCGTGTTGTCACATACAGATGGCGGCATGAGGACTATGTTTAAACAGATAAGAAGATTGTAGTTCCTTATGATTATGTCTGTGTACCAACATACACCTGGGGTTAACGTTGTTGTAATGGCTAAAATTCAAATACTGCCAAAGTAGTTTAATTTTTTTTTAAATTTTCTTTATTTTATTGTTTGTTTTAAGAAGTACCTGTTTCATAAAACAAGCTTCTGGTCAGGTAGTAGAAGGCCCATTACTACACCTGCACAAGTCTCTAATGTAAAAAATAATAGTTTAAATAATAATTTCTAATAAATAATAAATAGCAGACTGGACTGCTTATCTAGACCTGCCTCTTCGAAGGATAGAATTACTATACATCCATGGGCTCAGCATTCCCTACAGCCTTGGAGAAAGGCTAACCCATGACATGAAAGGAAATTTTCAACTTATCAGTACATCTCAGATGTTTTAAAGAAAATACCTTCCTTACTACTCACTCATCTAATGTAGGAATAAATAGCATGAATCAGTGCAGGAAAGTACATAGTTTCAAAGCCGTGATATTTCTGGAATATTGCTAAAAGCGGCGTAAAACTCGCTCACTCACTCAAGAACTTTATGATACTACATTCTGATTACCTGTCATGAAAGTGGTATCTTTTTCACTCTATCGTGAAAAAAACCTTAAAAACTTTTTTTTTTGTAACAGTGAAATTAGAGTTTGATATTTTGAAATATGCATGTATAAATATAAAATTTTATGATAAGTACAAGTAAACTGAATACTTAATCTGTTTTTGTTCTCTTTTATTTAGACAAGTACTGCACAGAATGTCATTTAATCTTGTGAGTGAGTGAACTTAGTTTTATGTTGATTTTAGCAATATTCCAGCAATATCACGGCAGGGACACCAGAAATGGGCTTCACATATTGTACCCATGTGGGGACTCGAACTCGGGTCTTCGGTGTGACGAGCGAACGCTTTAACCACTGGGTTACCCTACCATCTCATATAAACATGTACAGACATTCCCTACAGCCTTGGATCAAGGCTAACCCATGACATGAAAGGAATTTTTCAACTTATCAGTACATCTCAGATGCTTTGCTTTGTTACATCAGCTCCAGTTAAATGACTAACGGTTTCGTTTTGACTGTTATAGGAGTACAGATCATTTTGGACAAAATAAACGATGTACAGAAAAGACTGTAATGAGAATTCTGTGGGGATTTTATTATATAAACCAGCAGAGTCTTATTCCGTACATTGAAGCACTGTTGTGTCAGAGTTGACGGGACAGACATCAATACTTTGAGTTGTCAGACACAACTGTAAAATAATTACTTAATGAGGAAGCAAGTTCAACACAGGTTTTGTTCCAAGTTTTTTACTTTTAGGGTGGCAATCATTAAATCCTCGTGAAATTTCGAGCATTTGTCTGATCCCCACAAATGATTTTTATGTTACCTAAAATGAAGTTCTTAGAGAAGATAAACGAGACAGAATAAAGGGATAAAGTTTGTCGGCCTGTCCTTCGAAACAAGGAGGCTTAAAGTGTGGTGCATACTTTTTCATAGGAAATATCTCCGAAAGCCACAATAGCTACGGAAACATCTGTCTTCAGGTGATCAAAACTGGAAGCACCTATAATGTACACTTTGTTACTTGTGTTATCTAGGTGAATATGGTGTAGCATTGTCTCAGAGAAAATTGTCTTTGAAAAGTAATGAGTTTTAGTCATTCATAGTGCCTAACAACAAAATCAAGCATCAATTATCTAGTTGGTTGGGTTGTTGTTTAACGCTGCACTCAGCAATATTCCAGATATATGAGGACAGTCTATAAATAATCAAATCTAGGCCATACAATCCTGTGATCAACAGCATGAGCATCGATACGATGGGATACAATTGGGATACGATGACCAAGTCAGCGAGCCTGACCACCCGATCCCGTTAGTTACGCCTCGTATGACAAGCATGGGTTACTGAAGACCAATTCTAACCCGGATCTTTATGGGCTCAGTCATTTAGTATTTAATCTGAACCGTTTTTTTCATTACCCTCAATTTAAAAGTTACTTTTCTTGAAATCCTGGTTTGATAAGGGTATCCCTGAATGTACAGTAAAGGCAGATCAGTGTTTGTCACATGAGGAATGTAATGAAATGCATATCTGTTCATCAGTTTAGAATTCTACAGTGTTAGTAAAACAGTTCTCTGAAAATGTCTCTGAAATTTTCTAATGATTCCGTGGACGACTAGTGCTGTGTGGTTGAAACTATTTGTAGTACATTTGTTTTACTGAAGTTAATACTACTCAACTTTGTAAGGGATATTTTATCTTATGTATTGATTCCCTCCCCTGATTATGTCACTAATGACAGCATGCACATGTGTGATGGCAAGTATTTCAACATCCTCATAAAAAGTTGAGTAGTACATGTATATTGGAAAGGTGCAATAAATACTTTCATAGAACAGGGACCATGATGAAGGAGGGATGCAAGGTTACAGGCCAAGCAAACATATTTTGAACAATTAAAATTGAAAATTTTAAATGAAACTATACCATTCAACTTTTGATAAGGATCATTAAGTTTCTTATCTATTTCAGAATACTCTTGCCATATAATAAGAGTTTTGAGTATCATGGAAAGATAAGTATCTCTATCAAATGAGGCATAGTATATCATAAGATATATCTTATTACATTGCCTTTTAGATACAGAAACACTCAACAGAGAATCTCTTCATTTTCAGGGCCTAGATTTTCGGGAGCATTTTACACTTTGGTGTTTTCAAATATTTTGGTTTTGGACTTTAAGGGTCTGTATGGCAGCACATTCGATGAAAAAACATTGAAATTGTATAAGTGAAGGTTTTAAAATTGTTTAACTGAAACTATTTCTTTTCAAACACTTTACGGCAGAAAAATCTTTTATCTATCATCTTTGATGTTTTTTTAAGATAGTTTCAAAGACTTAAGTGCTAATGTTCTCTTGCAGACACATGTTCACTTAATCTCTTTCAACCCTTCAAACTCTCGTCAGATGGTTTCAAAAGGTTGTAATCACCATTATTCAACATATTAAAAAAGTTAATTGAAAAAGTATTCCTGGTATTCACTCATTCTGTCATTAAAAATTCTAGTTACGACTTGCACGTGGGTAAAACATGTAGGCACATTATGATTTACTGCATCAAGAGATGTTTGCGATGGGAGTAACTTAAAGTTCTGTATCAATCCAAAACAAAAATATGTAAGGAAAATATTGTATGTGCTTTGAAAATAGATTAAAATACCGTAAATTACAGTGAAAGGGACAACAAGTGAACGGGCCTGAATACAGGGACCTGAATAGTGAGTTTAGATCCATCAGTCGTGGATTTTATAAGTGAGTTTATATACATTGTTTACTGTACTACGTTTATGATGTTCTCCTCTATTAACCATCAAAAAACATGTCTGAGAAATTGTGTCC